TCTCCAGTTTCATGGAGTAACCGAGCAGTGCTGACGGAGGGGCCATCGTGAACAGATGCCATTTCGCGTGTCCCTCAGGAGGATCATGTCACTCCTTGCTCTCCTATATTCCATGCTATACCAATTGAGCGAACAGAGTCTGTCCGGGTAGGGTGTGCGTGACAGGCCCTGTACTCTTTTGGTGGCTTTCCTCTGTGCACGCTCCATGACGTTGATATCCCGCCTANCCTGATGAGTGTAGCGAAAATCCTAGGGAAAGATCGATCATGCTCGTAATTTCATTAGTGCTTCTCTTGCCTCCGATTTCAGACTTATCTCCACAACCAACCGTGTGTATTTCAATGCTTGCAAAACTTCTTTCCTCTCTGTCTCTCTTAAACGTGCCCCCTATTCTACTCAATTTGATTTCGTTCAACAAATTCTATCTCCCTGCTGGGTTCACCCCTAAATTCTTCTCTGTTGGTCCCCTTTCATTTCTACGCTCGCCTTTCTCGCTGCGCATAAATTCGGTTTTTTATTCCACGCAAAGCTTTTCTTTACAGCTAAGCACGTTCACCTTTTATACAAAGCTCAAATAAGCCCGATGCTGGAATACTGCAGGCACGTATGGAGTGGAGCTTGGTGTCCGGCTGATCAACTAATTTCAAACATGCAATCGTTTTCCCAGCGCAGTGGCAACGATCCCACTATACTTAAGTGTACGTCAACGAACCTGGCATCAGGAGTGCCATGGCATCGAGGGGACTACTGGCGTGTTTGGTTACCTTAGATTTTAGACGGCCAAGCAGCAAAGGGTCCAGCTACGCACATTGTTGTGCACAGATTGACGGAAGAAAAGTAGTGTCTTTATAACCGAAATAGCTCTAATACATGGATGAGAGAAGTTGTATAGGGTGTCGAAAACTATTGTGCATCTCCACATTCAAAAGACTATGAGATAGAGTACGCGAAGCGTCATACCAGACCGTGCATTCGGAAGCCACTAGGCCCTACGTGACCAACCGATCATCATCCTCAACATCCTCATCATCATCGTCATCAACATCATCATCATAATCATCCACATCATATTTATCATCATCACCATCATCATCATCATCATCAGCATCATCATTATCGACATCATCATCATCATCATCATGATCACCATCATCATTATCATCAACAACATGTTGATCATGATCAGTATCATCAAAATCGTCCGAATCAACATCATTATCATCATCATCATCATCATCATCATCCGGATCATCATCATCATCATCATCAT